TCCTAGGGGGCAGGGGACATGGGGCATGGACAGACAGCCCTCCTGGGGGCATGTTGCGTACACAGATGGTGTATGTAGCACTCAGTTACTGGCCCCCTGGGTGGCTGTAGCAGGTCTCTGGACCTATTGGATCACACAAGACAACTAGGGACATTTTTTCCCTGATAATTTTGCCAACCAGTGGACTGTAAGGTTGGGTAAGGTGTTCTGTTAGTATTGATGCAATGATTGTTTTAGTGGATAATCGTAATCCATTAGTTGAAGATGTTGTAATTTACCTCCTTATTTGAAATTTAATAGCTTCTAGTTTTTCACATCACAGAAAGCATTTGTACGTGATTATAACATGGGCAACTCTGAGACTTATGGGAAAAGCCTGCGTGCCTGCTCAGACTCGGACATTCCAGAAGATAATGACTGCCTTTCCACATGGCTCTCAGAGAACTTTCCCCACCACCACGGGGGGGCACTGGGGGCCTTCCCACCCTGAGCGGCTAGCGGGCCACTGGCATGCCATCAGAAGTTGTGAACTGTCCGTTAGGGGGGGCACTGGGGGCCTTCCCACCCTGAGCGGCTAGCGGGCCACTGGCATGCCATCAGAAGTTGTGAACTGTCCGTTAGCTCAGCCTTTTTGTATTTCTTCCCGAGTTTTCTTAGCTCTTGATTGTTTACTCTTTCAGTTGCATTTTGCCAGAGTTCTCTAAAATCATACCAGATTTGGTGAACTTATTTCAGAGAGAAGTGCTGCCTTTGCAGTACGAAGCATCTGCTGACCCCGTGTGTCCCCTTACCTGGTGGTGTAGGGTCACCACTGTTGTCCCAGCATTGGGGCACTGTGCACGCATCCCTACACATGTCGTCTTGGGCTGCTGCTGGGATGCGTGGCCTCTGAGCCCCCTCTCTGCCCTGGAGAGAGGTGTGCACGAGGACCCCGCAGCAGCCTATGGCCCCTCACGTGGTGTTTCTGAGGCGTCCACACGGGCTCGTGAGACTAATGAGGCACCATGTGCCCCCTGCAGGCCGAGGCCCGGCTGCTGGAGGAGCAGCGTCGTGTCCAGGTATACCTGCACGAGAGCACGCAGGACGAGCTGGCGCGCAAGTGCGAACAGGTGCTCATTGAGAAGCACCTGGAGATTTTCCACACGGAGTTCCAGAACCTTCTGGACGCTGACAAGAACGAAGGTGGGTGCTGAGGCAGCTGGGTGAGGGCAGCACCTGGGGAGCCAGCCAAGAGCGGAACTGCCGAGTTGGAGTGCTGTGGGCAGGGCTGCTGGCTCTAAGGCCACACACCCTCTCAGGGTGGGCCAACAGTGGAGGTCGTCCTAAAGAACTCTGCACCCGAGGTTCCTTTTCTCTTGACAGAAGAGTAACCCTTTCCACCCTTGACAAGCAGAACCTCCAGAAAGTATACAGGGAAAATTGCCAAGCTCCCCACTCTTGCTAACCTCACCTCATCTCTAAGTTTACCCATCGAGGCTTTGGTTTGTTTAAATTGGAAAACGCTGAGTCATTCTAAAAACATCACTAAGACCCTGGTGTACTGGTCACAGTTCTCAAGATCTTGATTGGAATTTTCTGGAACACTGCAAATACAAAGCAGATAGATAGAAGCAAGGGTGGCATGATTTTTTCATGTATTAGGTACAATAAGACTTTGTCACCAAAACCTACTGCTGCACAGACAGTGGGATCACCTGGGCGGTTTCCCTTAAGAACACCCTTCTGAAGGAGGAGAGCTCACAGTTGGCAGGTAGCTCTAGACCTGGGCTTTGAACCAGGCGAGGTAAGGGAAGTTGAGCACCAGCACGCGCAGTGTCGCCCCTGATGGTGAGGCGTGCACGTGTACCCCGCATGCAAGGCTCTCAGACCAAGGGGTGTGACTCAGCCCATCCTTTGAGCTGAACGTGGAAGGTAGCGGATTCTGTTCACTTAGCAGTCAGTGACGCTCCATATTCCTTGCAGACTCTGTACAAAGTGGATGGTGGGACTAGGTTCCCCGAATGCCAGCTACTCCTCTATACCATGTAAGCACACATGTATCGATGAAGAAATCCGAGGATCCTTTGTACTCGTTTGTGCACTTGAGCGGAATATTCCCTCTCCTTAAATGTAGTCTTTTATTTTAAGTCAGTGTTAGGGTGCCTGTTATGTCGGCCATAAGTAATTGAGTCCCAGACTTTGAGGAAGTACCCAGTCATTTCTGATGAGATTTTTTTCCTCTGTTTTGTCTGGTTTTTCATATGAAAGGGGAAACAAGCTTTTACAGTAGCACCGCTTCTCTGTACACACAGGCTGAGAAGGAAGCGTTTGGAGGGTCAGGTCTGCAAGCATGAATCTTCAGATCCAGAGCATCTGTCTCATCTCTAGGAGACGCCCACCAGGCGATTGGGGGGGTAGGGAGGGCGCAGTTTCGTGCTATGGGATCGGTTCTAACAGCAAATCCAAGCACGACAGAAGAAAACAGTGCTCAATCCAGCGCCATCATCTCTTGTTGTCGTTATGTGAGCCCGTTGCCGCGGCCACTCTGCCAATCCATCTCAGCAAAAAAGGCCAACCTCTGACCTCTGAGTTTACCTTGCATGCTGTCCTCCTCCAGGGACCGCTTCCTCCGGATAATGTGTCCCAAGTATACCACACTGTCTTCTAAGGAGCATTCGGACTGTACTTCGGACAGGCATCAGTTCTGTCCAACTCCCACATGCACATGAAGCTACTGAAAACGCCATGGCCTGGCCCAGGTGCACCTGAGTCCTCCCACTAGGTGGCTCTGTGCATCCGGGAGAGCAGGTGCGTGGGATTGGCTCCCTGTGTGAGAGAGACAGTGAATATCTCTGCTTATTCCAGATCTGGGCCGCATGTACAACCTGGTGTCCAGGATCCAGGACGGCCTCGGGGAGCTCAAGAAGCTCCTGGAGACGCATATCCACAACCAGGGTCTCGCTGCCATCGAGAAGTGCGGAGAAGCCGCGCTCAACGTGAGTGTTGTGGACCGGTCAGGCCTAGGCTGGGAGGGTGACTTAAGACGGCTGACGGTAAAGTACTTCCTGCAAGCTGGAACTCACGGACAACGGGGAGGGAAGGGGCTTAGCATTGGACTTGGCAGTAGAGCCCTTGGTCTCGGTGTACCCTAGGCTGGGACAAACACGCAGGCCACCTACCTGCCCACCTGTGTCGCTGTTTGGGAAAATGAGGGGGTGCTAGTGCCCGCCTCCTAGGTGTCGGGTGCCGTCCCCCCCCAGGAAGTGCTCCGGGCAGCATGGAGTACAGGGAGTGTCTGCACTTGGCATTGCCGCTCCTGTCTGCTGAACGCAATGGGGGTTCTCCTGGCATCCTGACGACTCTCCGAGGACTCGGTACTCAGCTCTCACACACACACATGTACACGTACATGTACACATCTACACATAAATACATACTTGGTATAGCCTCACACCTGCACAGATTGTTCAGACCCATCTGTGCTTGCTGGCTGGGGTATACGCTTGCCTTCAGAACCCCACTCACAGCAGTGCTTTCCCAGGGAAAGAGCTCAGCTAAGGTTATGGCAACTGTTCAGGACATTCCCAAGGGATCACCAAGATAGATTTTCTCAAAGGACACAGGATGATCGCGGGGGCTTATACTGAAAAAGTTCTCAGTAATCAAAAACTTCATCCATGAGGGAAAGACGGGAAGGTTGCATTGAGGAACTTTGTTCCATCCCGACAGTGAACCTGCTCGTTCATGGACGAAGCGGGGCTGTCCTGCCAGAATATCATTGGGAAACCTTACCCATCCACCCCACCACCCCGCTCTTACCCCTTCAGACTTTTTATTCCCAAAAGTCACCATGTCAAAGGTGTACCCCATTTCAATCCCTTGAGGACGTGAGAGCTACCACCTTGATATTTACATTAAGGAGCACAGAGCCCTTCAGGGGCAGGTTAGGCTGAACCCCTGAGACGTGTATGGACCTAGATGAGGATCCGGATTGTAGCCAGCCAGCAGGTTCACATAGGGTGGGCCTCAGTGAGCGGCCTCTACTGCCCCTGCTCCTCCCAGGACCCCAAGATGTACGTGCAGACGGTGTTGGACGTACACAAGAAGTACAACGCTCTGGTCATGTCTGCCTTCAACAACGATGCCGGCTTTGTGGCTGCCCTCGATAAGGTGGGTGGGCGCCGGGTGGCAGGGCTTCGTGGGGCTCCCGTGGGCGGACATTCCCTGACTCCCTGTGACCCACAGGCTTGCGGCCGCTTCATCAACAACAACGCCGTGACCAAGATGGCACAGTCTTCCAGCAAGTCTCCTGAGCTGCTAGCACGTTACTGTGACTCCCTGCTGAAGAAAAGGTACTGAGCCCGCCTGCGGACTCTTGTCGCGGCCAGCCTCACAGCCACTGCCGTGTCAGGCTGCTCTTAGCAGATCTGTTGGAATCTTGTTTTCTGGGACTGAGTTTTTACAGGGTTTTTCTCACGCCCTTTTCAAAGATTGCTTGTGCCAAAGCCCCCTCCTGCCCCTCCTCACGGGGCTTCTGGGTGGCGCATTAGCATCTGTTGGAGGAACTTCAGGCCCTGGGTGGGGGTGGTGGTCACAGTACTCTATCCTCCGAGTTTCCTTTTCCTTGTATCCCTGGTGGGTTAGTAGCAGCGGCCATACATAGGTTGAGGGGAGCGTGGTGCATCACTTCCTAGCCCTTCCATTTTGTTGGTGATGGTGTTGAGCCACACGGCAGAACATCACCAACTCGGCTTCCTGCCTGTGCAGGTCAGCATGCTGATGGTGTCCTTCGAGCTGGGTGTCCACTTTCGCCCTCCTGTCCGGGCTGCTTCCTCCAATTGTCACAAACTCACTGCCCCTTAGCTGCTGTTGCGTCTTTCCTGAGGGTCCATGTAGAAAGCTTTTAAAGACCACAAGGCTCAAGGCAAACCTTTTTTTTTTATTTTCTCACTAGTTAACTTGAATTCTTGTTTGGTTTTCGAGGGGATATTTCTGGTGGAAGGTTTAAAGATGATTTCAGAGGAATGGTTTCAGGGGCTCCCTTCCAGCTTCCCGTGGCTTCAGAAAATCCAGGCCATGAAGATTTTTTCTGTGATCAAGATTCTTTTATGGAATCTTTGATTTCAATATTCAGTAACAGTACTCAGGCACCACGCGTCCTCATGGCCAAGGAGGCCGCTGTTCATGGTTACAACCAGCCACACTGCATTCCCTCCTCCTGTCCCAGACTCTCCTTCCTCTGCACTCCACGTGAGGAAGAGCCAGCTGTGTCCTGAGTGGCCACGGGCACCAAGCGTGTTAGTCGGTCAGTTAGCTGGCCTGTATGTGAAGCTGTGACCCTAAACCCCCAAGCCCAGGAACCAGATTCCTTGCGGGCTTCGTCGTCCGTAGCCGCTGATCTATTCTGTTAGAAACATGTCTGTCACAGCACTTTGGGGCCTGTTCATCAGTTCTTGGGCGCAATGGCAGGAATTAAGGGCCTGAAGCCCTTGCTCTTACTGAGATTCTTCCCTCCTCATGAAGCAGGACTCAGACCTCCATAGCAGTGACCCACCTAGGGGCCTTCCTCCCACCACAAGGTGGTAACCACTTAGTGCCATCAAGTCAGTCCCGACTCACAGCAGAGCTGCTGGTGGGTTTGAACTGCCGACCCGCGGTTAGCAGTGTGGTGCTCACCCTACAGTGCCCCCCAGAGCGCCGTTGGTCTGTAATATACCTTGTCTTCAGGTGCACTCAGCGTAACCTGTGTGGGAGAGAATGACCCCGCTTTATTCCTCACACAGCAGTTAGGGTGACCAGGAGCGAGCTGGCTAGGTGGGCTTCCTCAGCCTGAGGTGACAAGGCGGCCTCCTCCATGCACACCCCTCTTCCCTGTGTTGTCTGCATGTCCTAGACCCGAGGGTTGTATGAGCAAAGCACAGGCAGAGCAGGTGAGAGCAGGGGCCTTTGTTCAGATGCTGGTAGCACGACCTTGCTGTGACCAGGGGCTTGGCCATCTCTGCTTTCTGATGTGGTGGCAGAGTTTCCCCCCGCCACCTGGTTCTTTCTATAAACTGAGATCTGTTCATTAATGATGGAGGAGCACGCTCTTTCCCACGTTACCCCTGACTCTTGGCAGACCTTGCTCTCAGTTCATGGATACATCTCTTCATGCCCTCCCTGGCTGGGCTCTGACAACTTCTTGGTCCTGGGTGTTGGGTTTTCCCTCGGCTTCTCTGAGCTCAGCTGTTCCCTGCATCAGGTCAACCAGCAGAGACTTTGGTGAGGGAGAGACTCGTTTCTCATACCTCATGTAATACTAGTTTTCATCTTAATCAGCCCTCTGAGGCAAGCGTACCCCAGTTATCCACTACCCATGTAAATAAAAGGATCGCAGGTGGAGTTCCTTTAGGAATCTAGCGCAGGTGTCTTAGTCTTGGTAAGATATTAGCAAATCTAATTTACGTGTGAATTGTAAAAATTCGTGAACACATGGTATTATATAGCATTCTAGAATGCAGGCAGTCCGTCATTCATCAGTCAGGATGGTAGCGCATGGAGCTTCAGTTGTACTTACCATGGTGCCATCACATCGGTTCTGAAGCCGGGCTAGCCCATGTGTGCAGAGTAGAGGCGCACAGTGTTTTCTTGGCCTTTTGGAAGCAGATTTCTGCATCTGTCTCCTTTAGGGTCCGTTGGGTAGGTTTGAGCGCAACGTTTCAGCTTATAAGCGAGAGCCACTCGGCAGGCGTCAGCGTCTGCATCAGGAGCTGCTCTGCTGTGCGGGGGTGAGCCCGCCCGGGTCTGTTTCCTGGGAGGACTCGTTGCCCATTTCAGGCTGCTGTACTGCTCTGCCGAGTCGGAGCGATGTAATCATGGAGACAGCAGTCCCATTAGGCCCTCGGTCTGTCTGGCAGAATACTCGGCGTGTGCATCATCATTGAAGACCTGTCTCAGAAGCCCATGAAATGAGCAGACGTTCGTTCCCTATGACTCTGGGAGTGGACGCTGGTAACTGAGTGACTCCCTCGCTCCATCCGGGGCAGGCAGCCTGAGCTGGCATTCAGGACGGGAGTTCTGGAGTTGTTACTTAGAAACAGCAGGACCGTGGTGGAGTTTGTCTGGGAACAGGTCATTTTAGGGTGAAATTGTTCTGTCTGTAAGGGAGTCTAGAAGGAAAGCCTGAGCGGTTCATTTGCCTCATCGAGCTTGTTTACTTTTCTCACAGCTCGTAAAAAGCAGGTGGGCTAGGGAAGCTCACTGACTGGCTTCATCACTGTGATTGTCAGGGGCCCTTGAGTGAGTGCTGACTCATGGTAACCCTGTAGAGCAGGGGTGGGGAACCATTTCCTGTCAAAATTTATAACATCATTCTCAGACTATACCACATTACTAAATTAAAATTAGCCTGTTAGTTTGGGTTAGACATTAATGACCTCACCCCTAGTGGAGTGGGAGCCCTGGTGTGGAGCTGTAGGATAGACACTGGACCGCAAGGTTGGTTTCAACCACAAGGTCAGCGATTCAGACTCACCAGACACTCCTCAGAAACCCTGTACAGAGTCGCTCTACAGTCGGAACCAACTGGATGACGCTTACCAACAACGTGCTAGCTGGCACTCTGGTTGCCTTGGCAAGGCCGGACATGTCCCCTACCCCTGCTGTGCAGCCGATGGGTTTTAACAGCTGACCTTGTGGTTAATCATACGGCACCGTACCAGGATGGCTCAGAACTTTGTGGAACTGTTATGCATGGTTGCTGTGTGAGCGCATGTTCCCATGGCACAGGTGACAAGACTGCACGTCAGAAACCTAGCCTGGGCACGGTCCGATATGACTTGGCTGGCCTGTTAGTTCAAAACTGCTTTTCTCCATTTCAGCTCCAAGAACCCAGAAGAAGCAGAGTTGGAAGACACGCTGAACCAAGTGGTGAGGAGCGCTGTGGGCAGGCTTTCGAGGGTCGTCAGTCCACAGAGCGGATGAGTAGCTTGCTGTGGGAGGGGCCTTCCGTTTTACCATTTGTCCTCATCAGACCTGAGTGTGTCCGTCCCGTGGGAAAGGACGGGGGTGGGGGCTGCGTGGTGGGCATGTGCTCTGAGGGGTGGGCACACCAGCATGTCTTGTGGTGGTGCTGCTAGATGGTGGTCTTCAAGTACATCGAAGACAAGGACGTGTTCCAGAAGTTCTACGCAAAGATGCTGGCCAAGCGCCTGGTGCATCAGAACAGCGCCAGCGACGACGCCGAAGCCAGCATGATCTCCAAGCTGAAGGTGCGCAGCTCGGGACTGGGGCAGGGCCAGCTGCCAGCTCCCTGTGCAGGCCCACCAGATCCGTGTGGTGACAAGACGTTGTGTGGGTGTGTTTTCAGCAAGCCTGCGGCTTCGAGTACACCTCCAAGCTCCAGCGCATGTTCCAGGACATCGGGGTGAGCAAGGACCTGAACGAGCAGTTCAAGAAGCATCTGACCAACTCCGAGCCCCTGGACCGTGAGTGTTGTACTCAGCAGCGTGGGGGTCTCGATGGGAGGGAGGGCAGTGAGGAGGGCGGTCTGTCCGCTGCCTCAGCAGTGACACATTTTGGATTCTAATTGAGGTGAGAAACGCTTGGCTGTGTCCGGTTGCATGGATTAGTGGTACATTCAGCAGGAATTGTCAGGGGCCACTCCTGTTGACAAGCGGTGGGCAGTGGGTATGGAGCTGACTGGTGTGTCTGCCCCGCAGTGGACTTCAGTATCCAGGTCCTGAGCTCCGGGTCATGGCCCTTCCAGCAGTCCTGCACCTTCGCACTGCCCTCTGAGGTGAGGGGCAGGGTGGGCGATGCGTGTTGTCTGTGACAAATCCATAGACTGTGGAGGACTGTGTTCCCCGTGATGTGTCTGTGGACTGTGGAGGATGCGTGTTGGACCGTGGAGACTGTGTGTTTTCTGTGATGTGTTCGTGGACTGTGGAGACTGTGTTCTCTGTGGTGTGTCTGTGGACTGTGGAGGACGTGTGTTCTCCGTGACACGTTCTCTGACATGCTCATGAGCTGGGGAGAACATGTGTTCTTCATGACATGCCCCTCTGCAGCTGGAGCGGAGTTACCAGCGGTTCACAGCCTTCTATGCCAGCCGACACAGTGGCAGAAAGTTGACGTGGCTGTATCAGCTGTCCAAAGGGGAGTTGGTAACCAACTGTTTCAAGAACAGATACACCTTGCAGGTAAGATCACCTCTTTTAAAGCACTTAAGTCCAGATGGACGTGAGACCAAGATTCAGACACCTAGGATGAGGGAACTCAGGAAGCAGCTCTCGAGTTCGGCTCTGGCTGGCTGGGCTCAGCCCATCGGTCTAGTCCTCTTTGGCCGAGTAGCCAGAGACAGTTCATGGATAGTCTGCGTGTGAAATGGGGGTCAAGGGGCTGTTTCGTGACCAGAAGATGGAATGAAGTGCTGAAACTAGGCTGGCAGCTCTGTTCCCTGACAGAGCAGCGTCTCGGCCCTTTACGGCCCTCAGTGCCCTAGCAGCCACAGCTGGGCGCCAAGCAGGACTCTGCATCTTCCCAGAAAGCTCAGGCAGATCCAGGCGGCCTTCTCGGGAGCCAGTTTCCCTCCAAGAGTCTGGCTTACTTCTGCTTCCCGCATTGTTGCTGCATGTTCTTGTCTGACACACTTTCCCTGGACACTCAGCCACGTTCCTTGCTGTTTCCTCTTAGTTTCTCTCACTTGGGGTACAGTTTGTTGTGAACTTGGATGTGTGACGTTTTGTCTTAGGTGTCCTGTGTTGTACATACTCTAGTTGCACAGACGTCCCGCCTATGTCTGGTCGGGGGCACCGAGCGCATCAGCCACGTGCCCCTCCTCTTTAGTGGCTTCATCACAGGCTCTCATCACGTGCTGGTCCTTGTATTTCTCTGAGTCATGTAAACGTGTGTGGACTTTATCAAGATTATCACGTAACACAACGATCTCATCATAAATGTGCATGGTGTGTGATGTGTTTGGGACAGCGTGCTTTGTCCCCACCGTGAAGGAGGCGTTCAGTTTTACAATTTACCATTCAAAACATGGCCGTGTGGTTATAAACCAGAGGCTTGTGTGTTACTGGAAACCATGGACCACACACTGATCTGAACGCTTTGCTAAAGTCAAAATATATGGGGGAAGGGACCATACAGAAAATTCTCACTAATTTTCTTACTAGAAACATCATCCCCAATCCTAGGCATAATCCAGAATCTTCCAGAAGTATGATTACTACCACAGTTGAGAAAATGCCAACATTGCCCAGCTCTTCTTACTGCAAGTCAGTTGTTACGCTTGTGCATTTTTAGTGTATGCACTAAAACATGTTTGTAAGTTTAGATCTGATGTGTCAACCTCCCAAAGATTGATTTATAAAGATTTGTTGTTGTTAGGTGCCATCAAGTTGGTTCCAGCTCAAAGTGACAAGATCGAAACACTTCCTGGCCCTACAGCACCCTCACAATCATTGTTGTACCTGAGGCCATTGTGGAAATCACCACGTCCGCGGACTATCCTTACTTGGTGTCCAGTTTTCACATGAGGCAGAACTGGCTCAGGCACACCTGAGACCTCAAAGGGACATCTTTAACATGTTTTCTAACACTTGAAAGAGGGCTTTTATAGCAGGTTTGCTCGGTGCAGTACATCATTTGATTTCTGGACTGCTACTTCCATGGCTGTCTGTTGTGGATCCAAGTAAACTGAAACCCTTGACCACTTCAGTCCCTTCTCCGTCTGTCATGATGGTGTTTCCTGGTTCCGTTGTGAGCATCTTTTCCTTTATGTTGAGCTGTAATCTATACTGAAGAGTGTAGTCTTGGATCTTCATCAGTAAGTGCTGTAAGTCCTCTTGTCTTTGAGTAAGTGCAAGGTTGTGTCTGCATATTGGACTTTGGAGTCTTTCACCAGTCTTGATACCACGTTCTTCTTCACATAGTCTTGCATCTTGGATTATTTGCTCATCATACAGTTTGAATAAATATTGTGAAAGGATGCAGCCCAGATGCACACCTTTCCTGAGTTTAAACCACACAAAGATTCCTTGTTCTGTTTAAGTAACTGCCTCTTGGTCTGTGTGCAGGTTCCTCATAAGCACAATTAAGCGTTCTCATATTCCCATTTTTTGCCGTGTTATACGTTGTTATCCATTTGTGACTGTGTGTTGTTAAGATCCACACAGTGAAATACCTTGGCCTAGTCAGTAAAACACCGGTAAACTTGTTTATGGAGTTCTCTGCTTTCAACTAAGAGTCATCTGATGTCAGCATTCATATTCCTGGTTCCAGGTCCTCTTCTGGTTGGTCCCTGTTTTGGTGACGGCTGAAACTAATTTTAACTATCTTCGGTAAAATTTTACTCTGTGTGGTGGTAATCATATTGTTTGATCATGTCTGCATTCTGTTGGGAGGCCAGGTAACTGTCTTCCAAATTTCTTGGCATAAATGAGTGAGCACTTCCAGCTATGCATCTGCTGCACGACCTCAGTCCGTCTTCTAGACATTGTGGGAGTCTTACTTTTCATCAGTGCAGCTTGGGGTTCTTCAGTACCGTTGGTTCTTGGTCCTGTGTTAATTCCTTAAATGGGTGAATGTTGATGAGTTCATGTTGATACAATCCATCTTTTTCTGGGGCTTCCTACATCATTTTTTCCCCGTAGAATCCTTCGGTATTACTGTTAAGAGTCTTGAATTTTTTTCTTGAGGTTTTTCAGCTTAAGAAATGTCGAGTGTGTTCTTCTCTTTTGGTTTTCGAACTCCTGGCCTCTGCATAGTTCACTGTAATACTTGACTTGGTCTTCTTGAGCTGCCCTTTGAAATCTTTTGCTCAGCTGTTTTGCTTCATCATTTCTTCTATTTGCTTTACTCTGCCTTTTTAAGAACAAGTTTCAGAGTCTCTTCAGACACCCATTTTGGTTTTTCCTATCTTTGTTGTTGTTGTTGTTGTTAGGTGCCATCGAGTTGGTACGACTCTTAGTGACCCTGTGTTTAACAGAACGAAACACTGCCTGGGTCCTGGGCCAACCACACAATTATTGCCACGCTTGAGCCCATTGATAATGCCACTGTGGGTTTCTTCAGATTAGTTCTTGATGTCATTCCACAACTCCTCTGGTCTTTCGTCATTAGTGTCATTAGGTCAAATTTGCTCTTATGAGGTGGTTTCTAAATTCAGGTGGGATATATTTCAGGTTTGATTTTTCTTCAATTTCAACTTGAACTTGCATATAAGCAGTTGATGGTCTGTTGTCTGAGTTTCTTCGTCGTCTCTTCCCACAGATGAGGTCTGTTTGATTCTGTATATTTCATCTGGCAGGATCCGGTGTACAAAGTCATCTCCACCATTGTTTCTATCACCTACGCTCAGTTTTTCAACTACGGATCCTTCTTTGTTCCCAACTTTCACATTCCACTCCAAGTAATTATCATTGCATCTTTTTTTCTAAATGTTATTGTGAATTGAGTGAAGGGTTGCAGAATAAATAGATCCTTCCTTTTATAGTCAACAAACTAGACACTTCCGTTGATTTCCCTGTAGTCAGGTAACGGTGGTACCTGTGTTTCGGTGAACTCGTTCACTCCTCGCGGTGTCCCCCCGGCTGGTCCTGCTGCAGCCCCTCACCATCGGTGTGAGACTTGAGCCCATAGCTGCTCACACACGGCTAGTTGTCTTGTCTGGGGTCTTGCTCTTTTCCGCTGACCCTTCACTTAAGCAGCAAGCATGCTGTCCTTCTCCAGGGACTGATAACTCCTGAGAACATGTTCAAAGTGTGAGAGACCAAGGCTAGCCATCCTGGACCCTAGAGAGCCTTCTGTCTGTTGCAGCCTAGATCTGTGGGTTCTTCTAGTAACCCATGGTACTTTTCATAGTCTTCTCCAACACCAAACTCAAACGTATCAATTCTTCCGTCTTCCTTATTCATTGCCCAACTTTCACATACATAGGAGGCTATTGAAAATACCATGTTTGGGGTCAGGTCCACCTTAGTTCTAAAACTGATACCTCTGCTCTTGAACACTTCAAAGGTGTCTTGCGCAGCAGATTTGCCTAATGCAGTGCGTCATTTGATTTCTTGACTGCTGCTTACTTCAGCGTCGATAGTGGATTCAAGTAAAATGAAATCTTTGACAACTGTAGTCTTTTCTCCATTTATCATGATGTTATTTATTGGTCCAGTGGTGAGGATTTTTGTTTTCTTTGCATTGAATTACAACCCATACTGAAGGCTGTGGTCTTTGATCTTCATCAGTGCTTTAAATCCTCTTCACTTTCAGCAAGCAAGGTTGTATCTGCAATTGCTCATGAGTCTACTCCAATTCTGATGTTACATTCTTCTTCATATAATCCAGCTTCTCTGATAATTTATTCAGCGTACAGATTGAATAAATCTGGTGAAAGAATACACCCCTGGTGCCCACCCTTCCTGATTTTATCAGTGCATCTTGATAGCACGTTTGCCCATTTCAGTGTGCAGAGCTTGATTCAAGTCTTCAGTTCCTACATCTTTGGCTTTAGTCATCGATGCCTACACTGGAATAATGGTTGTATTGATGATCTTTCTTATAGGCATATGGATATTAGCCTATCACTGACAGTGGAGTCATCAGAATGGAAGCCCTCTGCAAATGGGGAGGGCTATCTGGTGAGCTGATTCAGTTCCCTTGGTAGGCCACAAGCACCTTATTTGCATAGTCCCTCCCACTCAGTGAGTTTGTGGGAGTCATATGACTATGGCGACGAGCCAGACGACGGTCATTCACTGCACCACACTCCTCACTGGCCCAGGTCAGCCCAAGTAGTGGGGTGTCCATGGTCATTAGCTGTGGCTGTGGACTTAAGGAGAGGGGAGAAGGCTCTGAGCTAAGTGGGAACTCTGCATGCAATTACTGGGGGACTGGTCAGTGGTGGTAGATGCCACATGGTGGACTACTTCTGGTAACACTTCAAATGTCACGTCATTTCACACTGTCTCCATCTCCCAGCTGCTGTGAGCGAAACAGCACCTGTGGGAGGTGGGTTGTCTCCCAGTTCTGGAGGCCAATGGTCAGCCCTGTCCATCGTCCTTGTTGGTCGTCCCAGGGTTCCTTGGCTTAGACGTGACCCCACTTAGACAGCGTCTGTGTGTCTCCCGTCTCCTACCCTCATGTGGGTCTCAGGGTCTTGGTCAGCTCTTGAGCATTCATTCAGGTGACCCAGTTTAGAGTCCACCCTAGTCATGTAGTTAACTCTCAAAGAAGCCTGTTTCCAACAGGTATAGGACCAGAATTCCCACACATAGTTGGAGGGCACACAGTTCAGTCCATAACAAATGCACAGGTAGTCGGAGGCTGTGGTGTTGGCGGTGTGCCGTGGAGTCGCTTCCGACTCATAGCGACCCTGTTACAGAGTCTCCGAGGCTGTCAACCTTAATGGGAGCAGAAAGCCTCTTCTTTCTCCCTCAGAACAGCTGGTAGTTTCCAACTGCTGACCTTGAGGTTAGCAGCTCGACTTGTAACCACTACGCTACCAGAGCTCCTCGGTTTGAGGCTGACAGTGTTCCAAAAGACTGTTTCCTCCATATATGCAGAACAGAGCTGAGCATACCAGGTGTATGTGACCTGTTTCTCCAGCCGCTGAATGGCAGGCATGGTCAGAGGAGAATTCCCTGAGCCTGGCCTTCTCCTTCAGGGAACGATGCCCAGCCCCGCGTGCGTCTTTTGTTCCTGTTTGTAGAAAGGTCTTCATGCTGCTCTTCTCTAGTTTGCGTTTTCTCCTGCACTGAAATGTTTCTTCTCTTTTTGTCTCCGTGGGACCTTGAAGGCCTCCACGTTCCAGATGGCAATCCTGCTGCAGTACAACACGGAGGACGCCTACACTGTCCAGCAGCTGACCGACAGCACGCAGATCAAAATGGTACCTCACCGTTCTCCACTTTCTCTCTGACACCAGTCAATTGCTTATTCTCATGGGTATTGTGGGAAAAGTGTGGGGACAAGCTGGTTGCATTCAGTGTGAAGTAGCCGTGCCAGGCAGGCCTGTTCAGGACGCGGATGTCGGCAGTTCTGGGCACTTGTCAGCGTGGACGTGGTGACATGCCTTTCTCACATTCTCTTCCCCAGCTTTAACCAACTCTGCCTGCCTGCTAGGGTTTTCTTACTTAGCTAAAGTTCTTCCAGATTTGAATAGTAATAATCCTGTTCGTTTTTTTATTGAGATAATAGTTGACCTGAAATTCACCCTCTGAAAGTGTCCGGGTCCGTACTTCTTCATGTACTCACAGTCTTCCTGCAACCTGTTGCTGTCACGGTTGACTAAATCTCCACTTCCCTTTTGCTTCCCAAAGAAACCCCTCCCTTTAGTGGACTCTCCCGTTTTCCTTCTCCTAGCTACCAGTCTGCTTTTGTTGATTCATCACTAACATAGTTGCCTTGTTGGCACTTCTTGGCCACCGTGTAATGCTGCTTCTGAAGAAGGTAAAGTGGACACAGCATTGCGTATTCCTAGCAGCAGTCCATTGTTGGTGTGAAATGTCTGTCGTTGTATCGTGTCCAGCTCAGAGTGCCCTGTAGCTGGTTTCAGAGCCTGTACATCTCTGCGGGAGCAGAAAGCCTCTTTTTTCTCCATCCTTGTCACCGTGGCCTCAAAGTGATGACTCCTGGGGTGACATGGTAGGAAGGCACTGCCAGCGAACCTCAGGTTCCACAGTTCAAACCCACCAGCTGCTCCTTGGAAGCCCTACACAGGGTCGCTGAGTCGGACAAACTTGACAACACTTAACAACAACAATGACATTGAGTAGCTTTCCATGTGCTAATTGGTCATTTATAGATCGTCTTCGGAGAACTACGTTTTCAGATCCTTTGAGCACTTTTAATTGGGTTGTTTCATTTTAATGTTCTGTGTATACTCTGACCACCACTCATCTGCCAGTTTGTTGTACTGTGGTGGCTTCTGTGATGCTAGAAGCTATGCCACAGGACCAGCAGGGTCACCCATGGTGGGCAGGTTTCAGCTGAGTTTCCAGAGAAAGACAGACAACCTTAGGATGCCTGTCAGGTAGCACCAGAATAGTGTCAGATACCACACTGGAAGATGAGCCACTCAGGTTGGAGGGCACTCAATACAACTGGAGAAGAGCTGCTTCCTCAAAGTAGAGCTGACCTTGGATAATGCAAATGGAATAAGCCTTGTGGGACCTTCTATTTGCTGATGGAGTAAAAGTCAAACCCAAATATGGAATGTTAAGAAGTATGAATGTAATACAATTGTGGCATGCGTCAAGGTAGATGTCCTAGGCATTAACAAGCTGAAATGGACTGGTATTATAAAATCATGTGGTTACTATGCCAGGAATGACAAACTAAAGAGGAATGGCATCAGATTCATCATCAGAAAGAACATCTCTAAGGTCTGTCTTGAAATATGATGCTGTCTGTGATAGGAGAATAGTCATACACCTAGAAGGAAAATCAGTTAATACCACTGTTACTCAAATTTATACAGCAACCACTAAAACCAGTAATGATGACATTGTAGAATTTTTCAGCCTGAAATTGACCAAACATGGAATCAAAGTGTATTGATAATTACCAGTGATTGGAATGCAAAGATTGGAAACAAAGAGGAAGAATCAGTAGTTGGGAAATAGGGCCTTGGTGACAGAAACATGCTGGAAATCACATGATGACATTTTATAAGAACAATGACTAGTTCGTTGCAAATACCATTTTTAAACAACGTAAAAGATGACTGTACACATGGACCCCACCAGATGGACTACACAGAAATCAAACTGACTGCATCTTGGGAGTAGACAGTGGAAAGCCTTTATAGCATGAACAAGGCCAGGGCAGACTGTAGGACAGACCATCAGTTATTGCTCATATGCAAGTTCAGGCTGAAGCCAAAGAAAATGAAAAGTCCCTGAGAGCCAAAATATGACCTTGAGCCTCTCCCACCTGAATTTAGAGATCATCTGAAGAGCAGATTTGATGCTTTAGACACTGATGACCAAAGAGCAGAAGAGTTGTGGGAAGCCATCAAAATCATCATTGATGAAGTTAACAGAGATTTCTGGCAAGACGGCGGAATAGGCAGATGCACTACACGGACCTCTACAAGGTCCAAGAGACCAAATTAAACAGAAATTTCTGGCCCCTCTGGACTTCAGGGTTAGAGAGGTGGATGCGGTCCTTTTTGGGAGGAGAGGCCGAGCAGGGGTGATGAGAGAGGGAGACGGGCGAACAGTAGGCCAGATGCGGCTCAGCCATGTTGTTGAGCAGCTTTGGCAGCAGAGGGAAGCCTGGCAGAGCAGATTTACTGTGTGATTTCTTCCTCTTCCCCATGTTCCCCTGGTGACCAGAGGTGTGCCCACGACTGCCCCCACTCTGATGTGCTGCTTTGGTGCCCCAGCTTCCCTGAGGTCCTAACAGACACTGAAACCAGCCCCATCCAGGGCCCCCATGAAGAGGACTTCTGGATTGAGTGCCCTGAACATGGATAAACACCCAGGGCAATACAAACTCCATCTAGGGTCAGGAACTCTGCCGTCACATCCCTTCCGCAATCACTTCGTGAACTCCCTGAACTTGCAGGAGCCCACCAGATAATCTCCTGCTTCTGAGTCCAACAACTGCGCTGTTTATTTTTACAAATACAACAGCCACACAGTGACCAGGAGAAAACAGGCAGTTTCAGCTCACCTGAAGAAACGAGCGACTGGCTCAAACAAATGACCAAGATACAGAGCCAGAATACATTTGTGAGAGGACAAAGGTAATGGAACTAACTAAAAGGGATGTAATAGAATGATATTTTAGTACCTGTAAGGGGTTGACAAGAGAAATGAAGAAAAGCAAGGAGGATACAGAACAAAGCTCGAGAAGAATTGAGGAAAACACTGCAAGTACAAACAGACCAAAGCAGTGTAAATTCTAAACAATACAAAAGCTGCACTTAGAAATCCAGAAGAGCAATACTGAGAGTTCAGAAATGGACAAGATACTGAATAGGCAAAGGAGAAAATTAGAAGCGATGGAAGCCTGAATTACTGAACTGGAGTTAAATCTCTCAATACTAGTATGCTGTAAGAGCAATCAGAAAAACAACGAAAAACTATGAAGAAAGCCTCAGAGTTTTATGTGGGGACACCATGAAGAGGAACTGCTTAGTGGGTCGTTGGAATTCCAAATAAGAAGAAAAAATCCAAAGCTCAGAGAAAATTGTCAAAGAGTTGGTGGAAGCAAACTTCCCTAATGTCATGAAAGACAAGAGATACGCGTGCAAGAAGCTGAACAAATCCCAAACAGGCTAGATCCCAAAAGAAAATCACCAAGACGCATCATCATCACGTTTTCCAAAATCTGAGAGAAGTAAGAATCCTGAGAGCAGCTTAGCAAAAACAAAAAGCTGCCAAGAAGGGAGAACCGATAAGACTAAGCTCGGCTTTCTCAACAGAAGTCATCATTGAGATGACATGTATAAATCTCTGAAAGAAAACAAATGCCAACCAAGCATCCTATACCCAGCAAAGCTGTCCCTCAAATATGATGGCAAAATTAGGACTTTTCTTGATAAACAGGAATTTGAAGGCATTTATAATGAGAAGACTAACTTTATAAACAATGTTAAGGGGTGTTCTTTGGACTGAGGACCAACAACAGCAGGAGAACAACCTGAGATTACCATCCATGGCAACACCACCTAGAACTCAATCCAAATACAGATTAAAGTCAAACAAACCTAGAAGAGTGAGACTCGGGAGACCCAGAGATACCAGAGTATAATACATAACAGAGCTAAAAGAGATAATAGTCTAGGGACGGGATTTCCAAATGACAAGGATGTCAAGTAGAGTTCAGATGAAACAGATTGTTTTAAGCAGGGAAAAAACAAATTACAGGAGAACTTCAAAGAAAAGTAATACACCTGCACTTTAAAATGAAAATCAGAAAAATTCAGTGAGCACTAACACAACACAAATGAACTCAACGTAGACAACTGTGTGGAACCAAAGAAACCAATCAGCACCACAAAAATGACAGCAGTCAGTTCATAGCTATTGATAATTTCACTGAATGTAAATGGATTAAATGTACCAATCAAGAGACAGAGAAAACAGAGACATACCAAAAAGATAGAGACAGCGAAATGCCCAACAACAGAGGAACGGCTCTGGCACATACACACAGTGGAAACTATAAAACGTTGTAGAAGAATGTTGGATCTGGACTCATGGCATGGTTGAACCTGGAGGACATTATGCTGAGTGGAATTAGTCAATCACGAAAGGACAAATATTATATGAGATCGATGTACGAAGCTTTAAAAAAAGGTTTTCTTGTAACAGAAACCATCTATGATGGTTACAGGGGGTGTGGGGAAGGGAAAATCATTGACAGGCTAGAGAGCAACACATGTTAACATGGGTGACACGGCAGGGAAGCTGGAAGTATCAGGTGCAGTGAGGAACGCACACGTTACAGTGAGCCGCAATTGGTGCGTGGAGGAACCTGCAGCCATGTGATCTGTTGACTGTAAAGCTGATCATCTGCTCTGTAAACCTTCAGTCAATTCACAATCCAAAGTGGAACTTTTTTTTTTTAAAGGCAGTCTTCTGGCAAGATGGCGGACTAGACAGGTAGACTAGGCAAACACACTACACAGACCCTCTTACAACAAAGGTACAAGAGACCAAATGCAATGAAAACAGGTGAAAATTCTGGTACCCTGAACTTCAAAAAAGAAAGGTTCGAAAGATGGATGGAGCGTTTGCTGGGAGTTGAGGCTGACTGGCGAGCCGTGGGCTTGGCAGCGAAGGGAAGCCTGGCAGATCAGATTCACCTGGGCTACCGGACAAGTGTGGTTTCTTGTTTCTCCCAGTGTTCCCTGGGTGAACAGAGGTGTGGCCCGCTCTCATCCTCACCCACCTCTTGCATAGACCAGTGCTTCATTCTGTTGTGCACAATGACAATGCATTCTGAATGCTAGACCCGTATCGAATATGTGTGACTTACAAATACTTGTCACTTTCTTGATAAGGTCCTTTGATGCATAAAAGTTTATTTTGATGAGTCCAGTTATCTACCTGTTCTTTTATTGTTTCTATTTTTGTTGCTATGTCTAAGAAGTAATTGCCTAACCAAAGGTCACAAAGATCCCTCCTGTTTTCTTTGCAAAGGGTTCTTACATTTAGGCCGTTGGTCGGCTTGGTGTCTCGGCAGGCACGTGAAGAGCTGGTTGTACAGCCTGACCACATAAAATGGACTCGGTTCCCTTGTCATCAGTCAGGAGACTGTAGGTGTGTGGACTTCTGTCTAGACTCGCGATTCTATTCCATAAACCTGTAAATTTCCCTTTATACTAGTTAGTGCCAAACGGTTTTGATTATTATAACTTTATAGAACATTTAGAAATCGGACTGTGTGAGTCCTTCAATTTTGGTCTTGTTTCTTAAGATTGTCTTAGTGATTTTGGACCCATTGCCATTTTACATAAATTTGAAGATCAGATTTTCTTTTTCTGCACAAAAGACCATCGGAACTTAACGTCTTGGTGTAAGTCTTTGGTGTGTGCGCTGATGTTACATCCTGTAACCGTTCTGAGCGTGTTTACTAACTCTGGCTGTGTGTGTGTGTGTGTGTGTGTGTGTGTGTGAATTCTTGGGAGTTTTCATGTATCTGCACAGTTTGACTTCTGTTTTTGAGTTGAGTTTCTTTCCTGCCTCATTGCTCTCACACGCACTTTAGTACAATGCTGACTAGTAACAGTGAAAGCTAGCAGCACCCTTGTATTGTTCCCAGCCTCGGGTACGTTTTCAGGGTTTCCTCATTGAGAATGATACTGGCCGTGGTTTTTCATAGATGCTCTTTATCGTGTTGAAGAAATTCCCATCTATCCCTAGTGTGTTGGGTGTTTTTATTGTGAAAAAGGCTGCTGTTGGGTTTTGTTGAATAATCTTCTGTATCTGTTGATGCTGATGTGGTGTATTTTGCAGATTGATTTTCTTGTTAGGACCGTTTTTGCATTCTGGGATGAATCTCACTTGGTTCTATTGGCATTCACTGGTGTTGAGGTGGTTCTGGTTCAGGGAACCTACATCCGACAGAATGAAACATTGCTAAGTTTGGTGTTGAGGAGGTTGCGTTGAGGAGGTTGCATCTATGGGTAGTTTTCCTGTGATGCTTCTGTCAGGCATTAGTCTCTGTAATGCCGTCCTCCGAATGGGTTCCGAGTCACTTCTTTGTGTCTCAGGAGATTTGCTTCATGTTCGTCCCAGATACATCTCAAAGCTGAGTCTCAAAGCGAGTTTGCTCCTTGCACACACCAGAGTCTGGTTCCTACTGCCTACTTGAGTGAGTCTGGGGGGCTTAGTTGCTACTCCGTGTGACCCTTGGGTGGTTTGTGATGGAAACAGTCTAGTCTCTTACCTAGTTTGGGGACGAGAACACACGCGAGCAGTGAGCAGAGTGGGCACCTGCAAAGGATAGGACCAGGTCCCAGCCACACGGCCCCCCAGTTATAGTAGTGGTGCACATGGTGCCGGATCATGGGGTGATGGGGTGGCCACCTGGTGACGTGTCCATGTGCTGTGTTGACGCCAGAACACGTGGTTTCTGGCATCTGAGCGCTGCAGCGTCGTCATAGTCATGTGTCAGTGACGAAGGCCCGCAATGGCTGTGTTGTTCAGGTGGGGGGACGGGGTTGGTACTGCTTTATGGCAAAGTGCTGTCACTGCTAACCCGCCCTGTTTTCCCAAACCGCAGGACATTTTGGCACAAGTCCTACAGATTTTACTGAAGTCGAAGTTACTGGTAAGTGTGTCGTTTCTGTGTTAAACTAGAAGACAGACTTTTCTTGCAGCTCCGTAGAAATGGTGGTTTTCTTACAGGTCTTGGAAGATGAAAATGCGAATGTTGACGAAGTGGAATTGAAGCCAGACACCTTAATAAAGTTATTTCTCGGTTATAAAAAGTAAGAGAGGGTCGTGCACCGAGGGAGGCTGTTGGGACCGATCTGAGACCATGACGCTCCCGGCTGTGCACAGCTCTGTTGGGTTGGTTTAGTCAGCAGATTCCTTGACACACGGATCTAAACAGCTAGAAATCCCACGGGTGTTCATCTCGTTATTGACACAGATGAAGGCAGGGTGGGCAGGTGAAAGAGCAGGTTTCACCTGTGCTAACACATCCTCCATTTTCCTACAGTAAGAAATTAAGGGTTAACATCAATGTGCCAATGAAGACAGAACAGAAGCAGGAACAAGAAACCACACACAAAAACATTGAGGAAGACCGCAAACTGCTGATCCAGGTGAGAGGGCGACTTGTGGGATGGGCAGGGAGGGCTGTGTAATGCAGGGGTGCGTGCACACACTTCAACTTTCCTCAGCTACTTTGCTGTTGGGTTTTTGCTGGGCGCTGTCAGGTGGGTTCCGACTCACAGGCTCCACAGGACAAAGTAGAACTATCCCAAAGCTACAGGGACTGTTGTCCGCTCGGGGAGCAGGTCACCAGGTCTCATGCACAGAATGGCAGGTGGCTTTGAACCGCGGAAGCACTGCTAACTGGGAATCCTTGAGTCTAATGAGCCTTGCGGTCCCTCTCCCCAGGCAGCCATTGTGAGGATCATGAAGATGAGGAAGGTCTTAAAGCACCAGCAGCTGCTGGGGGAGGTGCTCACACAGCTGTCCTCGCGCTTCAAGCCCCGGGTCCCCGTCATTAAGGTAGGCTGTGGCTGAGTGGGTTGGTGGCACTGTGGCACTTTTAAGGAGGGGATAGGCGCTTTCTGGTGATGTACTGGACTGTCCGTGGAGAAGGCCCGGTCCTTTGTTAACCACACGGTCATCTGTGTGAGCCAGACTGCTGGGGCCACAGAGTCGAGCAGTGCTAATGCCCAGGGATCCGGGGGAGGGGGTGTGGGGGGGCAGGTGGGTCATTTTATAGGGTGAGGCTGGGGGCCACCTGATGGAAAATGTGGTTTTTTTTCCCTTTATTTTGATAAAAATGTCTAGAAATGCATTGACATTCTGATTGAGAAAGAGTATTTGGAGCGAGTGGACGGTGAAAAAGACACCTACAGCTACCTGGCCTAGCCTTCTGGAACGGTGTGGCCGGGCCACTGCGTCGTTGCTCCATGTGGATGGACAGCAACCCCGCCTCAGCTGAGACCGACGCCCCAGGGTGGCCTCGGGCCCACACCCAATCGCTCAGGACTGACACTTGCGTCTGTGCTGACCGACAAACAGATGCAACGCCATTTCATCTACTTTAAGGACCGAGGGGACAGGCCTCCGGAGGCTGCATGCCACTGCATCACATCAGCACACGCCGCCCTCGAGGCCGGAGGGCAGGTGGCCTGCGCCACCGCTGTGGAGACATTTGTACAGTGTGCTTCATTTTTTAATGTGTGAGAATAAAGAGAATTAAAGGATTTCTGTACAAGTCGCATTTGGTTTTGTTTTAAGTTTTACTAATTTCTATATGTAAATAAAAGATATAATGATTATGCAATTGAACGTATTTCCCGTCTCTTCCTGTATCTGCAAAGACTGCATTCGCTGGATTGAACAGGTGGTGCTTTGACATTGAGACTTCTTCCTACAGGAGCTGGAGGCAGCTTGTGTGAGGAGCTGCCCTGACGTTCTGGTCTCCACAGTTCTAACCAGCTGCTCCAGCAAAAAGGCCACGATTGAAAGATGGAAACAGCTTCGAATCCTAAGGAGCAAGAGATCTGGGCCGTTTCCAAACTGCAGGTAAGTAAGAATGTGCACAGAGCTGTAGGGTGCAGTCAGTTCCTGGGGGGATCCTGGCCAGGCAGAAGCAGCCAAACTCTGTTCTCGGCCTGGAATTCCCACCACCTCTAGCGTGCCTCTACCAGGTCATCGTAAAAGAGGACAGGTACAGCAACATTGTTCAACTTTCAGCTGCATTCTGGGTGGCCGCCTAGGCAGCTGCAACTCCACAGACCGTCTGCAGTGAGTGATAACCCAGGAACCCTGAGCGGCGGCAGTAAGTAGAGAGAGGTGATGAGATACTGACTAGGAGAAGCGGCAGGCCTAACTCGGCACGGCACATTGGATCTGGATGCACGCCGGTGGTTAGTGACAACAAAAGGTCCAATTCCTACTCCCTTAGCCAATCTCTGCTCTATCTACCAGGTCAGAGCTGTGCAGCTCGGGGGAACCAGGTGAGGTGCCCCACCCCCAGCATGTGGAGGTAGTACCTCTGGCTTTAGACCCACAGAGCAGGGTCTCCACCTAGGGCCGCACGCCACCCTCTCAGCCCGCCCGCCTGTGAGCTTGGCTAGCAGAGGGTGTCAGTTCATACATACTATATATGCCCGAATTGTTTTCCCTTTCCTTATCATCCTTTTTCAGCTTTGTGGTTTTTCCTTTTTCACTCTTTACATTCTTTTCCCCTTATTTTTCTTTCTCATTTTACTATTGTCCCACTTTATTTTCTTTTCTCATCTTAACGGGTGTTTCCCAGCCACACCACAACAGCCCTGATGCCTTACCTACTAGGCAAGTCACTACTCTGATGATGACAGCAGACGATGCTACTTTCTGGAACCACATACACACTCGAGGAGGCTGGGGTAAAGGCCTAAGAACACCTCAACATAGAATCAAAATACACAGAAACACAACAGTGTCTCAGACCTAATCTCAGTTCACATAAACGACATGGGCTCACACAAGTAACCAAAACAAAGCCAGAAAATGTATGAAGAAGAAAAGATACTGAAATTAAAGAAGTCAAAGGAATCTTTAGGTAACTTCAACGAACTGAAGGATCTGGAGTTCACACCAAAATAACTTAGAATTCAGTAAAGCACTAAACGGTAAATTAGATAGGAAAGTTGCCAAGTGATTGAGGGTCACAAGGTGTTTCATGCTTTGGGAGGAGGGGGACTACCTGTGTCGTCTTCACCGGGAGCCAATTCTGAGAGCAGAACCAGACAAGTCACTTGAACTACACAGCTCTGGGTGGAAGACATGTTTCTTTCGTTCATGTGTCCCCAACAGATGGAGCATACTGTATTGTTGCATGCCTTGTAATGTTTTCTTACAACATTTTGAAAATAACTTGTTTATATTCAACATGTCTGAGCTCCCCAGCATTTGTTACTGCAGCTGGAGATGGTTTGCTTTGTTAATGACTAGCCTACTTTTTGTAAAGTCTGTTCCTGTGTATGCCCACTTGTCTCCATCCCTTCTTTATGATCATGGGAGGGGACAGGACTAAAATGCCAAGTGCTCATCAGCATTCAGGATTCTGTGAGGAGGCAGAAATGGGAGTGTGGTCTGTTGGAACCTGAGGTGTGGGGCACAGCAGAGGTAGCTGGTCATTGCTAACACTGACCACAGGAAGAATTAGAATTAGAGGAGTTTGGTCAGAGAGCCCCACAGTCACCTGCCAGTGTCTGCTGAAGGCTCTCAGGCTTCCCTCCTAGGTGCCATCAAGTCCCATGGGCCACAGTGCCTGACCTATCCGTTCTGAGGATCACTGATCACAGGTGTGACAGCCAGAGTCCATCAAGTCAGGTGACAGATGAGCAAGAGATCATGATAATGGAAATTCAAGTATCTTTATTCAAAGTTGAAAAATGTACCACACGGCATTGCTGCAAAAAGTCACTGGTACAAAACACTGGTGAAAAGGCAATTAGAAGTAGGTTTTAAACTCGTTACTATAAATTACTGTTACAGTACTTCGTAAGTTGAGAATTCAAACTGTGTGTGAGCGGCGCAGATGGCCGGTGTCAGGGGATCTCCATCTCTCTCTCAATGCCCACGTACTTCAGGGCATCCGCCTGGCTGTATCTGTATGAATGACAGGGGAGGCTGCTGACCAGGGAGCCCCTAACCTCTTGTCCCCACCACCCTGCTGCTACTGCTGCTAACTATGGGAACTCAATGGCCCGTCCAGCTCAAAGCAGAATGGCTACACCCAGAGGGGCCTACAGACACTGTGCTATGTGGTGTAGGTACAGCCAGCTCTGGGCATCAGACACCACCCGCCCTGCAGAAGGGGATTCAGGGGTGCTTTGACAGGCCCGACGATCACAAAGCCAAATGCAGTGACGTGTGCATGGTAGCCTCGCTTGACACCCATCACTCAGCACTAAGCAAGCACAAGCAGCCTCCCCATGAGCCCCACTGACCTGTAGTCAAAGAACAGCTCCTCGCCAGTCTGGATGGCCCGTTTGGCAAAGATGCCGATCCTATGGTCACCATTTACCATCATCACTAGAAGAGACGGCCACCAACCAAGTGAGCGCCAAGCAGACCACACAAGTCCCCAGCATGCCAGCACACGGTTCTTGGCACCTACCTTTGGCGTAGCAGTTTGGATTTACTGAATGATTCGCAAAACGGATTTTGTTCCCCTTACGGGTTGCATCCACAACAAAATCTACCGAAGAAAGAGTACAACCAATGAGTCCATTCAAAGTTCATTTCTCCTCCTAAAGCAACCTCGGTCCAAGCAGGAGCTAAATGAGCGCCCCCCTGCACCCTCAGTGCTGTAAAAACAGCGCTCTCATTAGCCAGTGACTGCAGAACACAATGTCAACTCCACTCACTCTCAGATTTGACACTGCTATCGTCGTATCAGGAGCTCTGCTAACTTAGTGCTTACGACTCAGGCTGCTAACTCAGGGTCAGCGGTTCCACGAGACAAAGACGAGGCTTTGTGCTCCCGTATAGATTTATAGCCTCAGAAACCCTGTAAGGGGTCGCTATGAGTCGGAACCGACTCCACTGACATCACCACCACCAGAGTTTCGTCATGTAGTACGTCTGGGACACATGCCTAGGCCACCTGTGCTGCTGGACCCACAAAACGTGGCTCAGGCACTTTGCACACAGAATATTCCACAGGGACGCCAGCAGCCCAGTCCTTGGCCTCCATTCACCAAGGTCTCCCTCCTCCCCTGCGCCAGGGACCACACAGAAGGAGGGGCGGGCCCGGCGGAGGGGCGTTCCCACACACCGTTATTGAGGTTGAAGAGGAAGCTGCACATGTATTTGTCATACACTTTGCCTCTCCTGTCAGCCTCGTCTTGAGAGATGATCTGCAAGGAAAGGCACGGAGGTCAGCGGTCACGTCTGCAAGAAGGCTACCCACTCCCGAGGGCATGCCTCCTCACCTCCCCACAGTACTCCGAGATGAACTCATTCTTCTGAACCGGGTCTTTGATGAAGATGCCCCAGCCGGCCACATCCGAGGGAGCCAGCAGTAAATGCTACAACAGACGGTCACGGGTCAACACAGGGCTCCCACACCACCTCACAGAAGAGAGGTGACCTTAACGTGGGGCCCTTGATGCCCCTCAATAACTCACTGTCAACTCTGATGTGAAGATGGACTCAGCCCCCTTTCTGCATGAACCAGGTCACAGTCCCTACTGTGTGGTGTGAACGGCCTGAACACCCAACCAAACCACACAACTAGTGGAGAAATCCAACACACCATCTAGACGCGTGGGTTCAGCCACAGTGTGACCAGTCAAGAGCAGGGAGAAGTGCCCTGGTGTCACAGTGGTTAAAGTACTCCTCTAAAGAAACCGCCAGCAGCAATCCGCTCCTGCAAAGGTGAGTCTTGGGCACCGAACAGGGTAGTTCTGTTTGGACCAAGGTCACTGAGCTGGAATCCAGGACAGGGTGTGATGGACGGCTGTTGCAGCCACACACAGTGTTGTGACTTCAGAGCACCAGGAACAACCAGCAGCTCTTCCCATCTCCCCAACATGTCAGAGCCGAGCTGCTCCTCGGGTTATCATTTTTCAGACGTATCTGTAGACTAGACCCTCTAGCACATTAACAATCTGTATACACCACCCAGGGAGACTCCAAGTGCTATGAATTGGTTCAAAGCGAACTCAACACCCGTTGCCATCCTGCACCTTCTTGGAGCCTCGCTGAATGCTGCAGTTCTTGCAGGACACGTTCTTGCTGTCCCAGTGGTCAGCGGCCCCGCACGTCAGGCACAAGTCGGGGTCACACTCGCGCACAGCCAAGTAGCAGGGGCACTGCTTGGTGTTGCACTGTGCTTTGCAGCGGCAGCCGGGAAAGCGGTTCTGACCTGGAGAGAGACGTGACTGTCGGCCAACGGTGTCCTCATCCACTCGATTGAGTGGTCCTCCCTCCCAGCACCAACAGACCGTTTGGGTACATGTCCTCGGGTACCCCTAAAAAGAGTGACCACACTCACACTCGGAGCTGCACTGGCAGAACTTCTCACAGAAGTTCTGTGCGATCACACAGGGACACGAGCTGTCACAGGGCTGCCGGGGGTGGTCACAAGGCTGGTAGTTGTACACGTGGTTCGAGGAGCCATCTGGATCAGACAGCAGCAAGGAAGGCCCCCCACCAAGTCAACCTGTCACCCTCAGGTTCAGCCAGAGCCACGTCACTCACCCCTCCCCTGGTTACAATGTGACAGGCCGACCCCCCTACACCCTCCATCACAGACCAATCCACCCAGTGTTACTGAGACAGCAGAGTGGGCGAAGGCAGCTACAGACCCTTTTTCAGTTGTATCTTCCTGCAGTGGGCGGCCCATAACCTGCAGGGACAGAGAAAACAGGCTCCACGAGTGTGGGCAGAGCGGGCAGCCAGGGCTGGGGCAGGGATGTGGGCTGTCAGGGGGCCAGGGGAGCAAGTGGCACAGAGTTACCGGTGTTTCCTCTTCTTCTTTCTCGGAGGTGTGTCGACGTCCTCAGCAGGGGCAGGTGCAATAATGCTGGACTCCTTGACTCTAAACTCATACACCTGAGCCGAGGTACAGGCAACACAGCCATAAGGATGGGGCACACCGACCCCCTTACAGCCTCACCACACTGCCATGCGCCTGCAGGACCCACCTAGACCGAAGACCCGACCTGGGCTCACCTGTCTGCACGTTTTGGTCCCAATAAGTCTTGCGATGGCGCAGAAGTTGTCGTAATAGGTGCCGATGAGGACACGGAACAAGGAGGCCTCAGCGCCACTCCACTCCACGCTCTCGGGGGGCTCTGTGTTTGGCTTCATCTTGATCGGTGTTTGGCACCGGGAGTTTGCTTCTGCAAATCCAAAGTGAAGTATCAGTCCAGGAACGCCCATTATACGGCCTGAATGAAATGACGGGTCTGCTGCGGACGCAGGAGCCGGAGCAGAACCAAGAGGCACCCGTTATTTTGAACTAAAGCTGCAGCATGTCTTCGGGCAGCAAGCATACTGGATGATGTCATCCCACCCACAACCAACGCCTCACACAGAACCGGCTTGACAGCACGTCAGGAAATGGCGGAGGGAGAAGAGCCAGCGTCCACTCAGCAATCCACCCAGGAAAGCCTCTTGAGACACCAGACAGAGCCCCGGGCAGCCCACCGGGCCGGCCACCATCCTCACCTGAGGAGCTAGACGTCTCGTCCTTCTTCTCCTCCTCCTCCTTGTCGTTGTTCTCCCCGCCCGTCTCCGTCCCCGCCTCCCGGTCACTGTCTGTGTCTTTAGACTCCAGCACACTGATGGTGGGTGTACTGGGCCGGCTGCTGTTGTTAGGTAGCCGCCCCCTCCTGCGGCCACCAGGGCGCTTTGGCGGGGTCTTGATCCGCTCAGCTGTGAGAGCAGCAGCGAACTCCTTTGCTCCCTCCTACAGAGCGAGAAATGCAGCAGCAAGGCAAAGTTCTAGAACTCATTGCGGTGGAAAAGGAAAAAAAGCTGCAAGGAGCAAGGTAGCCAAGACATTTGTCACAAACAAACGCATGCATACCCGACTACACCTGCATTCAGTTTTGAGAACTTCAAAGAAGCTAGGCAAAGGTACACACGATGCTGCAGGGGACAGGACGCTCTGCATTGGGTGTGGCTGTGAGGGTAAGCACTGGACGGAGGATGGACAGACGTGGGACACGCCTTCAGGAAAGACCCTGGTACTAGAAAAGGACATCTGAGGGTCAGTGAAGAAGAGACGGTCCTGCAATCCCATGGACTGAGAGGACAGTACAGGCCCTAGCATGTTTCTCTGATTATGGGTAAGATCACCACGAGTCAGAGCCAACCGAAAGGCATGACTAACACGCAGTGATTTCCAGGCACAGAGCCCTCCACATGCAGCCTAGAGCCAGGCTTCCTGTGTGTTAAGGTAATACACGCGGTCCACAGCACGGGGGAACAGGGACAGACACAGGCTCTTTCTTGCCTCACTCTTGCAGTGCCTTATCTCATACAAAGGCAGACACAGCCTCATCTTTCTCTTGTCAAGTGGCTGGTGGGTTCAAACTGCTGACCTTTTAACTAGTCATGGGGTGCTTTCACACTGCACCACCAGGCTCCGCTGCCTCATGTTCTAGAACCTAGACTATCCTGTGAGGGACACAGATGCACGAAGACATGAAACCACTTCTGGAATACCACGTGCTGGCCCACACCTCAGGAAGTAGAGATCGGTGGTGCACCAGCCCCAAGTGTGCGGTATAAGAGGAAGTATAACTTTCAGTTTCAGCCCAAAACACCAAGCTGTTCATAAATTCTGCAGTGCTCTCAGTAAGTCACTTAATAACAATTCTACAAATCTCTCCAAAGCCAACAGGAAAATGAAGCCTCAGGAGGTTTGGTTCGGACAGGAACAGGTAGAAACAAGGTGGCACTCACAAAACACCATCTTTCTCTCGTCACTTTATCTACGTCACCCATAAAAATCTTCCGTGGGGCCTATACAGTCAGTCCTCGACTTAGGGACAGATCACTTAGGACCATCCTTTCTAGTCGTCTTTTATAATATGTACAACATACAACATGGTAACCCATAACTAACTGATGTCATCATTCTCGTGTCAACTCCTAAAGTCAAAAATTGGGATTTATAAAGATACTGATAAGAAGAAGTCATGATAATGAAAAGGTGCTCAGCTTACATCAGAAGTGACTTACAGCGGAGTCACTGGAACAGAACCCTGTCGTAAATTAGGGACTACCTGTGATGTGGCCCGGTCTTGGGTCTAAACCCAGAGAAGGAACACAGCTTTAAGAAAAGCTCCAACGTGCCCTGATCTGCAAAGGGTCGTGGGGGTTCGTGGGGGCCTTGAGCTCGATGCTCTAAAGACACTGTGTGCTGCTAAAGGAACTTGGGAACCAAGAGGGACCACACAGTGCAGGCCACACCGCCAGGGCACATTCGCCCTGGGTTCTGATCATGCTTCTCAGATACCCTTGGAAAACTAAAGCAGACCACTTACCAGGTGCTGGTAACACTGTGGTCCACACGGTTTGTTGTCCAGAGCGGTTTCTGTGTTTTTTCGCTTGTACGTGTTGGGTGTTGCATGAAAAGCTGCAAAGTAAATGAAACCTAAGTGTCAGAATAGACCTATAAAATATGTTTAATCATCTTTTCCCTTATTGCTGTTAGCTGCCATCGAGTCAATTCCAATTCACAGTGACCCTGTAGTTTCCAAGGAGTGGCTGGTGGATTTCAACTGCCAACCCTGCAGTTAACAGTCCAGTGCTTATCCTTCAGTGCCACACCTGGATATGTTCTCTCCTCTGGTCCCCATCTTGAGCTGTGAACCACACTCTGGGTGAATTAGCAAGGTGCCTCACACTGATTCTCCCCGCACCAGGAGACATAGCAAGGGCAGGGACATTCAAGGCCTCTGGCTCCCCTCAAGCGTCACTGGTGCACACAGAATACGAGTCTAGTAAGTTCAATGAACGGCTGCCTTTCCCCCCTGCGATGAACTCCAATGTTCGGTCTTTATAATTTCCCGGTATCAGCAACCAGGTTACCCAATGAGCAGAGGGCTGGGGCCCACTGGTCCCATTGAAAACATGGGTGTCCCAGACACGAAAATGATGCTAATTCTACTTGCGGCACAAGTGAAATACTTCACTGATAGCCACCATCTTTCCTTGGTCTGGATTAAGAGAAAGTGGAAGCGACGATGCGAACAGGATTTTATGATTCAGCTGTGACTCCCAACAGGGTTAATTATGAGAACTCACTACTATCCGAAAGGAGGATCCTGGAGTGCAGTGTGTCCTTTGGGCCCAGAGACAGAAAGCTGTGACTGAGCAGCAGACGAGCGGCAGGTGTCCCAGGCCACAGAGCAAATGTCCCTAAGTGTCTGCAGGCATGGGACTGGGGAACTAAGTGTGCTGCCCCTCAGGCTTACAGTAGACTGGAGTGTCCTTTGAGCATTTCCCAGCAGTCCTAAAAGAGCATGCTAACACTGCCGAAGAAGTGTCAAGGGCCGAAGGCCAATGAGCACAGCTAAAAGGCTGTCCTGGCTAAAGAAATCGCGTTCTGAGCATTTCTGACCCTGAATTGTAACCTGCACATTTCCCTGACAAACCCTGTCTGAATTCTACATGACAATGGCAACGAATTACTAAACTCCTCAGCAAAGATGCAGAGCAGGATGCTTGGTGCCATCTTTTATTGTACACCACCCAGGCAAGTGCTGATTACACCAGTCCCCCAAGAAACCAAATGCTTAAAACTTCACATCTCTCTGGTGGATGACCGCTGTGGACACAGGAGGATGAGCAGAGAGTGAGTCACCTGCACAAGGCACAAGGCTGCACGCCAAACACAAGATGAAAACGATCTAGTGCTGAAAGGCTTTACTTCATCAGGAAAGGTCAAAGGGGCAGTGAGGACAAAAGGAAAGGAGGAAGGGAAAGGGAGAGATTAAGGACATCACATCACCAGCAAGGAGCTACGTCGCTTGACGGGCTAAAGTCACATACAGTTTGCTAAGCATTTCTGAGACGAAGCGTATTTCATTTGGATGCCTCCGACAGCACAAACTATCCTCCTGTTTCTACCCCAATACTCTTGCTCCAGCAGTTCAGGAAACATACACACATGTGAAGTCAAGGGAACCGGAAGAAACAAGCAGAACTTACTGATGGGCCATCATACCATAAAGAACCCATTCACAGCTTCATTCTTAAATCCCTGTTACTTCACAAAAGCTAGATCTCCCTCAGAGTTACCTCCACCCCACCCCTCAAAATAAACAGCCCATACCATGGAGTCAATTCTGATGCACAGCAGCGCTCTACACACACGGTTCCCCAGGTCATCTCTTCTTTCTCCAATGGAGCACCAGATTGCTTTGAACTACTGACCTTGCAGTTAACAGTCCAACGCTTTACCCAGTGCATCACCAGGGCATCAATTAGAGGAGGCACACTTATAAAGACTTCTAGAAACATCTTGAAGCTTAAACATACCTTTTAGTTAGTGTTGTTACGTGTCATCTAATCAATTCTGACTTATAGGGCCCCTATATAGGGGTTTCCAAGGAGAGGCTGGGGAGCATGAACCACCATCTTGTGGTTCAAACCAACCTTGCAATCTAGTTAGTGCTTTACCTCACAGGGCCACATTACATCTTTAAGTTGTTGTTGTGCCGTCTTCCAACCCATAGCGACCCTGGATAGGGTTTCCAAGGAGTAAACCGCCAACCTTGCAGTTCAAACGGCTTTGCAGTTTGGCGCATTAACCCACAGTGCCACAGCAGGACTTCAACATAAGATACGTTATTGATGTTGTTATGTGCCAAGGAGTCGATTCTGACCCATAGCAACCCTGTACAGGGTTTCCGAGGCTGTAAATCTTTCTCCCGCAGAGCAGCTGGTAGTTTCGAACTGCTGACCTTGAGGATAGCAGCCCGATTCGTAACCACTACACTACCAGAGCTCCTAACGTAAGATATAGTTCAACGTAAATACAATCTAGCGGAAGACCATGTAATATCACCTTCCTGATCAGAAAAATTATTAAAAAGGAATTAAGGGAAGGGACTTGTAACATTTTACAAAATGGACAACATTATTATTGAAGTTTTTACTATCATTATTTAAAAGTCAATCTCTAAAATCTCATTGACAAATCTTACCTAAGGTTTTCAAACAAAGGGACAAAGCGAGTTAGTCACGAGGAAAACTTGCAGCTGCTCAGAGACACCCTTCGACAGTGTCCTGTGCAGCCCCGAGACGGGGAGAGTTCCCCAAGACCTGCAGCAGAGACAGGACAGACCAGTCCGGCAGGCAGCAGATGGGACTAGGACCTCACCGTCTTCTCTCCCAGGTGCCGAGCAAACCTTCCTTCTTTAGAGCCAAGCTCTCACAACGAATGCGTCCACAGCTCTCTTTCTTCTGCGTTATGGTGGTGAACCTTAGAAAACTCCTGGTGTGGCGCTGTTAAGTCAGCACTGGAGTTTGAACCACAAGGTTGGCAGTTCAAACCCACAGCTGCTCCTGGGAAACTATTCAGGGTCGCTAGGCGTTGGCACCAACTAGTCAGCACTCAACAACAATCTTTCTCTACTCAGCCAGGTCTCCCTTGTCAAAGTGCTGATTCTAATAATAAAGAAGACAAGAATCAGGATCTTGATTAGTGTTTGCTACTGTCAGCTCTGAATCAACAGGTGAAGTTGTCCACACAACCTTAGCCAGGTCAACATTTCAGAAGCTTCATATTAAACCTGACTCACCTTCTCTTAACCAAATGAATCCGTTTTCCATCTCAAGGATTTCAACTAGAACTAACATGGCCTGCTTTGATTGATGTTGTTGTTAGGTGCCATCAAGTCTGTAGCGACCCTATGCACAGCAGAACGAAACACTGCCCGATCCTGGGCCAACCTCACTACTGTTGCCACGCTTGAGTCTATCAATGCTGTCACTTGGCCAATCCATCTCGTCGAAGGGTCTTCCTCTTTTTCTCTGACCCGTTTTACCAAACTTGATATCCTCCTCCAGTGACTGGTCCCTCCTGACAATATGTCCTAAGTATGAGAGATGAAGTTTGGCCATCTTACCCTCCAAGGAGCACTCTGGCTGCACTTTTTCCAAAACGGATCTGTTGGTTCTTTTGGCAGCCCATGGCACTTTCCATATGCTCCTCCAACACCATAACTCAAAGGCATCAATTCTTCTACGGTCTTCCTTATTCACTGTCCAGCTTTCGCATGCATATAAGGTTACTGAAAATACCATGGCTTGGGTCAGGCACACCTTAGTCCTCAAGCTAACATCTTTGCTCTTCAACACTTTAAAATGGTCTTGTGCAGCAGATTTACTTAATGCAGTATGTCGTTTGATCTCTTGACTGCTGCTTCCATGAGTGTTGATAGTTAATCCAACAAGAATGAAGTCCTAGAAAACTTCAATCTTTTCTCCATTGGTAAGAATGTTGTTTATTGATCCAGTGGTGAGGATTTTTGTTTTCTTGACATTGAGATGCAATCCATACCTAAGGCTGTGTGTGCTCTTTGATCTTCATCAGTAAATGTTTTAAGTCCTCTTCACTTTCGGCAAGCAAGGTTGTATCATCAGCATATCGCAGGTTGTTAATGAGTCTACCTCCAATCCTGATGCCACATCTTGCTTCATAGAACCCAGCTTCTCGGATTATTTGCTCAGCATACAGGTTAAGTATGGTGAAAAAATACAACCTTTTCGCACACCTTTCTTAATTTTAAAACATTCAGTCTTCCCATGTTCTGTTCAAACAACTTCCTCTTGGTCCAGGTACAGATTCCTCATGAGCACAATTAAGTGTTCCAGAATACTACTCATACTTCGCAATCTTGTCCATAGCTTGTCATGATCCACACAACCGAAAGCCTTTGCGTAGTCAATAAAGCACAAGTAAACATCTTTCTGATATTCTCTGCTTTCAGCCAAGATCCATCAGACATCAGCAATGATATCTCTCTTTCCACAGCCTCTTCTGAATTCAGCTTGAACCTCTGTAAGTTCTCTGTCAATGTATGATTATAACCATTTCTGTATTACCTTTAGCAAAACTGTACTCGCATGAGATATCGAAGAGACTGATGATTTCTGCATTCCGTTGGGTCACCTCTCTTTGGAACGGGCACAAATATGGTTCTCTTCCAATCAGTCGGCCAGATAGTTGTCTTCCAAATTTCTTGGCAGAGATGAGTGAGTGCCTCCTGTGCCGCCTCACTTTCTTGA